GAGAGAGAGAGAGAGAGAGAGAGAGAGAGAGAGAGATTTACCTCTAATTGATAAACACTATTTCCGATATGCTTTATGTAAAGTAGCGGTTCGTAAAGATTTCTGGTGGAATCGAAAGCAAACGTTCGTTGAATGGATGGGATATAAAAGTAACCGGCGTTTGAATGCCAGCCTTCATACCATACAATTGGATATGAATAACGATATGGTGTCATAAACGGCATATACTTATTGACCACAACTCTTATTATTGAAAAATCAATGACAGAATATCGGGCAAACATTTCGACAATAAAATGGGATCCATTGACTGATTTCAAGCGCATTGAATAAACTAAATCCATTTTTGCGAATGCATTGCGAATATTATTGCAAATTAGTTGTGTTTCACTGAATACCGAATGACTGGTCTTTGAATCCGAGTTTCCGACGACTGGAAACGCCTTCAGACCCGACGGCGTGTACTGAAAGGCAAACGCTTTTCGTTCAAAACTGTCCTTTAATTTGCCGATTGTTTTATTGTCTATGACTTCGGCGTAAATACAGGCCCTATAATAGTGTGGGTTTAAGTAGAGTTGACAACGAATTGTATCCGCATTTGTGAGACATTCGTTGACATTAGAAGTCAAGGAAGAATAGAGTTTGAATGTAAATCCCATCACAGGTTTAGTCGTGTCTAAGGATAATAAACAAAGACAATTAAAATTTTTAAGTTAAATAATAAGTTAATTAATAAAATACAAACCGATATGAAATTTGTTGAGAATTGTTGTAAAATCTGAGTCAAAGAAAATGGACTCTGATTTGATGTTAGGATTGGCACCACTTTTGAAGCTAACGTCAGACCACTTCCAGAATTTGGCGTTATTTTGAAAGTAGAGATCATTTCCTAATCCGAAGACACTCTCAAGTCTTTGATCGGTTCCGCAGAAGTCGTTTGGTTTGAATGAAGGATAGGATTCGTAGTGATATTGTTCACAACCAAAGAGACTTCTTAAAGTCTGATTTGTACCAAACATTTGGGACTAATATTTAACACAAAATTTAAAAAATAACAATTTTTAAATACTTTAATATAAATATATTTACTGTTAAAATTGTGGTCAAATTGTTGCTCAAATCGATTAGACTTAAAGGTGTATTTGGACCGCAATTCTGACCACAACTCCACGTTTTGTTCAGATAACGAAACACATAATAGACATCATCTTTGGGTAAATAGTATTTAATGGCATAAATATAACTCATGGATAGATTGCTATCCCATAGTTTGCAGAACTGATAGCCCAATAGATTAACAGTGTTTGGAAATGCCAGCGATTCAGCCGTAAAGATCTGAAACGTGATCTTATCCTCATAAAAGGGTACCAATACTCTGGTGCTGTTGTCGTCAACGGTTCCGTTAATTGGATTAACTGGAAGACCACTACTGGTAGTGTTAATGGTATTCATATCAACCAATAGGATCTCCGGATGCCGTAAACGAAAGGATACGCCGGAGAAGAAGCCCTCTTTGGCTAAGTTTGTGTCGTTATGTTTCCACTTAAAGCCGCAATACGTCTTCACACGACTCTCTAAGACCGGAGTATCGATAGTCATTAGAAGGGAATTATTGTATTTGCGGGCCAACCAAGTCTGTGATCCTACGAGGCAATATAGAAGTTAAATGAATCACTTTCTAATTGAATTATTGTTAATCTCCATAAAAATACACTATAGAAGTGCTCTATTCATGAAAATTAATGACAATTAATAAAGAGATGATTATTACCACCGGTTTTATTGGTTCCGTAGAGACACGTGTAGAAGATCTGTGGGTCGTCATAGACTTCAGTGCATTCGTTCAATACATCCAAATTTCCGCAATCATTGGACATAAACTGATACGTGAAACCAGACACTGGTTTTGATAAATCTGTACAAAATAAAGACAATTAAAAACTGTTTGTAATGTTAGAGAATAAATGATATGCCGAACCAAACATTGACTGCAAGTATGACCACAAGTCTGTGTCGATCACAAACCGTGGGCTCCGAGAAAAGTATTTCTCCAAATCTTCGTCGCTATCGATAGAGTCCTTGAGTTTCAAGAATTCAGTTTTGGTCTGAATTATCAAATCATTGCCTAAAT